GGTTAGTAAACTGGTTAAATTCAGTTCTCAGTGGATTTTCCAGGAAAAATTCATTAAATTATAGACTACAAATATTAAAATGTAGTGACACATAATCAGTAAAATAATTAACATTTATCCACAGCGCTATAGTAGAACTGGGAACTAATCAGAAAACCACCATTTGTATTTCTGTATAAGTTGACTTTATGTACAGTGTGAGTCCTAAATATTTTTTGCATTAATTATGGAATTTATTTACCTGTATATAGTGAAACTGATCATGGAAAATACATGATTTTAAAACTCTTTAAAAAAAATTATCTGTGAAAAGTGCCACACCCCTTTTATATTTTGCATCAAAACTGATCATAAAAATTCACACTATACTCAAGTATGTACAGTAAATTTCTCTTCTTGACTTCAATCTATAACAATGCTATTGAGCTGAGCTGTATAATTTGCTTGAAATCATTACTGCCATTAATTTTCAAAATAAATCAGAAAAATTCATTTGTTTTGTTTTTTAAAAATTAGCTTCTAAAACTTTTATGAAAGTCATATTGACTAAATCAACAAAAGTTCAAATGACCTATTTGACTAACCAACCCAAGAGTTTTGTACAAAAATACCTGGCTGGGCCAGATGGTCAATAAATCTATTGAAATTATTATCATGTCTCATATTCATACTCCTTGGAATAAATGGTAATCATAACTTTCAAATATAAAAAATTCTTACCACATTAGAGTTTTATTTAGAATGTAAAAGCATTTAAATTTATAACCAGCTAAAATATTATGGGGGGCGATTAATATCACTATTTATATATATATATATATATATATATATATATATATATATATATATATATAGTACATACTAATTCTTTTATGTAGAAACTGTATATAGGTCTCATTCTATTCATTTTTCCCCAAGTCTGTCAGAAACCTCCCAGTCCAGATTTGGCTCTCTGTGACTCCCAAGTCTGTTGAATTTATGTGGTTGAGATTAAGGAGAATTTGATGTGGTAACTGATGGTCATCTCTATAGAGAGCTTTGCAGATTGTTTAGCAAAATAAAATGGAAGCTAGGATAAGTGCATAAGGTTGTAAGGAGATTAATGAATTAAGGCATCATCACTCTCAGAGTTTGTTTTTTTGTTTTTTTTTTAATATCAAACTTCTGGATTCTCTTTAGATAGGCTTTGTATACTTTACTTGTATACTTAATAAAACAAAAATCATAAAAATACTTATTTAACATTAATTATACACATCTCTTGTTGGTTGTGCCAGCTTCACATCAAGTAAATGTTTTTCTTGCCTATTCCAGAATTGTACATGTCCAATCACTTGAAATCCCATGGCCAGATGATAGCAGCTATTAGTTGTGCAAATGTTCCTAAAATAACAATCATTGTGGGCAATGCCTTTGGAATGGACCACTACTTAATGGTAAGTATGTCTGTCATTTAATACCAAGTGTGTCTGTCATTTAATGCTAAGTGTGTGTAGGAGAAACTGTTAGCATAGAAGTAGATTGGTCTACAATAACAGCGGCAAACTGAGTTCTAACTTCAGATAAGATCATTTACAGTCACTTTACACTACTTTTTTTTGGAAAGGCATGAATCCATTTTTCCCTATCAGCAATCTAACTAAAAGAAGGTAGCTCTGACAAAAACAGCAGGAATCCTTAGGTAAAGGAAATGATGGTCAAGAGACTAGCAACTTCACCCTGTAAATAAAAAAAAACTGACCTGCTACTGAAATCACAGATGCAGCCTTATTGTCTGCAGGGAGCCTACAAAGGTTAATGACAAAGGATTTTAGCATGTCTACTACTACTACTACTGCAGCCATAATAGTGTCCATGCTTCAGTTAATTTGCTTTGTCAGCTGTGTTGAGAATATATCAACTGCAACCCCAGCAGAAAGGTAAGAATCATCCACAAAGAGGCCACCTTCTAGGTAACTGCTTACAAACTAGAGTATAAACTGGACCTATGTCCTATAGACTCTAGTATAAACCAGAGTTATGTCTACCTATAGACTCATCTGTGAATTGGACAATGTTGCCATATCTAGTCTGGTGATCCTGCTGCGCATTTTGAGATTCTTGACAAAATCCAAAGAAGGGTCTGTAATGTAACTGATCCTGATCAGGCATTTAGACTTCAGTCACTTTCTCACCAACATGGCTTCCCTCTGTCTTTTCTATAAATATTTTCATGGCAACTGCTCTGACAAGCTGATTTTCTCTGATGCCCTGACATGAATTTAAATATGCTACTAGATTGGCATCTAGGTCCCACCATTTTACTGTTGAAATAGCTAAATGCAACTGCTACTTCTACTCCAAAAGTTTCTTTTCTCACACTTACCACTTGTAGGACTTCCATTTTTTTTGCTTTCCTGATGACTACAATCTTCAAAAGTTTGAATGCAATGGCGATCACCATCTTTTATCCTCTTGAACCCTATTCATATTTTTGTCCTTTCCTCAATCCTTCCTATTCTCAGTCTCAGTATGAATCGGCGCTATGCCTACCTGTAGACCAGAATCTGAATCGGCGCTATGTCTACCTGTAGACCAGAGTCTGAATCGGCGCTATGTCTACCTGTAGACCAGAGCATAAATCGGCACCATGCCTACCTGTAGACCAGAGCATAAAGCAAACTGATTTTACCTATGTATTAATTCATTGTGATACTTGTCCTCTAAGCCTTATATTCAAGAGGAAATAATCCAGCAAAAGTTGGTATATTATTAAATTAACCAACATAATTTAACTTTTCAAGTAATAGATGATACATCGTAATTTTAGAGTAGTTGCCCCCATCACTTGAGTATCAGATTATTGAATGATTTCATTTCTCTAATAGTTTAAATCCAAATAGAATAGGTATTATGGTGACTTCATTCCTCATTTTCACTACTAGTTGATATACAAGATCTATTGATTTGTATATTGGAAATCTTTTCAGATATCTATTAAGACTCTATATTCATTAAAAATTAAAGTCTCAAATGATTATTTACATGATTTACATACGGATTATTGTCCTTATCTTTGTTGTTTTTATCACAACTTTCCGGCTCTTGTGTCCTCTGACTTTCATTAGGTGTATATCGATCCAGGTAACCTACATGGAGTTCCAAACTGAACCCTTTATTTAATCTAGACTTCCTGTAATAACCACCAAAAGTGAATACCTGTCAGCAAGGCTATACCTAATATGTATGTGCATGAACAGGTAAGCAATGGAGACTATTATCCTCATCTTTGTCATTTTTATCACAACATTTCAGCCATTGTTCCTTCATTCAGTTTATGTCAATCCAGCCCCAGGGTGAGAACAATTGTCCACATGTAAATAGTGTAAATAAAGATGACTATACATCCTAGAATTTCATACAGAAAATAAATTTTAAAGAAAATGGGAACAAAAAGGACACTTGTACTTAGAATCAAAAAAGGTAGCTGAAATTTCTGGAGCACACGATGAGGCCAGAAGTCTTTGAGAATTTAACACTCAAAGGATATAATGAACACTGAGGAAAGCAGCAAGGAGCCTACCTAATGAGTTTGTGTAAATGAATGGCAGAACAGGAAGTGGGAAAGGACAGTAAAAAAAATCACACAACATAAGAGCTACAAAGGATAGGAAGTTGTGGAGAAGCATGATCACCTACTTCTTAAAGAGACACAACACATAGAAGACTAAACCAGTTTTCTATTTCAGTTTCTTTTTAAGTAATCCAGCACTGTACAAAATAGTCTCTAGTAGAATTTAAAAGACAGAATGAAGCTCTTCTTAGATAAAATGTATGTACATTGTTATTGCTGGTTTGTTACTTTTATTTATTTATTTTCAGTGCGGTCGAGCGATGAGTCCTAATTTCATGTTCAGCTGGCCCAATGCCAAAATTGGTTTGATGGAATCAGACACCCTATTGCACAATATCACACAGGTCAGTTTTATTTGTTACTCAGCAAAAATAAATAAAGAGAATTCCATATTAGGACCCTTTTAAGCAGTGGTTCCTTTAAAATCTCAACTGAGATGGAGGGGGAATCTGATAGGGAAAAACCAGAAGTCACAGGGAGCTAAATCTGGAGGGTGTGGGGGGGTTGATATGGTGTAATCTGACAGGCCTGGGAAAAACTAGAAGTCACAAGGAGACAAACCTGGACAATGGAGTTGGAATGGAGGTGGGGAGGTAATTGACAGGCCAGGAAAAAACCAGAGTGCTAAATTTAGTATTTACATAAAAAAAGACAAAATATTATAAACATTTTATTATTTTTGTGCAATTGATCTTATTATAAAGTCATTATTCCTTGTAACTGATGTTTCATTTAACCAGGATCCACTGAATTTATACATTGGAAATAATCGTCCTAAGATATAGGAGAATTATGTTCATGCAGACCAACATTGCTTTATATCTTCATCAGTGACAACTATTTACTCCTGTCTTAATAGTAAGTCCAATACGTTCGATAAAGTAAAACTGGTAGCTGCTCTCAAAAATTACCTCCAATCAGTTGTTAACTTGGGCAAGGAATGGCTTGTAAATTTTAATGACTCAAAAATGGAACTGTTATCTTTTACTCACCATAAAGAACCTTTCTTGCCTTCCATCAGCATGGCTGATGCTAACCCCCAGGAGAGCAACTCATTGAGTCTTCTTGGTCTCACATTTTCCACTTACATAAAGTGGAATGATTATATTGAATCAATTGCTAGGTTTGCTGCTAGGAAAGTTTGTTCACTCTGTTGTTCCAGATCATTTTTCTCATCTTGCACATTCATGAAGCTGCCATTGATCCATGCATTGAATATCGTTGCTGTATCTGGTCTTGAGATTCTTGACAAAGTCCAATGAATGCTTTGTACTGTAATTGATCCTGACCTGGCATCTTGACAATCACTTTTCCACTGCCATGACGTGGCTTCCCTCTCTCTCATTTCTGTAACTATTTTCATAGAAATTGTTCTAATGAGCTTTCCTCCTTGGTACCTTGACCACATGAATTTAACTTTACTACTAGTTTGGTAATTAGGTCTCATTGTTTTATTGTTGAATAGCTAGAGTAACAATTTGCTAGGTAAGAAGTGTGAGGAAAGAAACTATTAGAATAGAACTTATGGTTTCTTTTCTTACCCATGGAACTTGTTGTGGTCTAGAATGATGATGATATTTCATCATTCTAAAAATAACCTTGTCATCAGTGATGATAGAAAAGAAGGATATTTCATCATCCTACCCCCATCATAAAAACAACCCTTCCACCACCAGAAAGTCAGTAGACTAAGGTATCCTATAGAAGTAGACAAGCAATAGTAGTACAGAAACTCACATCTTTGCCATCACTCTGTGAAGATTGAAAACAAATGATGTCAAACACCATCCTCACAAACAAAATTCTCGGAACCAAACCATGCCAAACACCATCCTCACAAACAAAATTTTCAGAACCAAACCAAGTAAGCACTGACTTTTAAACAAAGACACACCGAGAACATTTTTACATGCACCATACCAATATTCTGTAATTCGCATCATAAAAAGAAAATGCAAATTTTTGCTATTTATGCCAACACGTGTCTCAAGTTTTTTACTATTGTTTATGTTATATTGTTGTACATTTATACATTTTAATTTCTGTCATTATCATCAGTCCCATTACAGTCGACAAATAACAACAGGGAAAATAATACATCATCCCCTAACTTACCCACCCCATTATAAACTCTTTTTCCCTGCTACCTACAATCTTAAAAAATTTAAATGCAACATCAATCACCATCTTATGTCCTCCTGGGTCCTGTTCTTTTATTGTCCTTTCTCTTCACTAGTCTTCCCATTCACTCTCTTTCAGTCTCAGTAACCTCTTGTGTTTTAGTGGCTTTTTAAAAAATACTTTCCAAACATTGTTTCAACAAATTTTATTTGTTTTTACTTTAATAAGATTTAATTACGCATACGCCAATGACTAAATTTATGATTTTTAAACTAATGTTATCCTTCAATTAGTGCTTGAATTATTTTGCAGAGTTGAATTTTAAACTATATCTATGAACTACATATAGTTTTCCTTCCCCTAGGCTGGTTGCCAACCAAGGCTATAGGATCCCATCTATCTTGCTATTTACCTATATCTGGGGGAGAAAAGATGGATTCATACTTTTCCTAATGTTATATGTGCATAATTGAATGTAAGAAACTTATGTTTAACTGTTGTGATTGTAATTTGTAAGAAACAGTTTAAGATACACTTGGAGAAAAAAAAAAAAAAAAAGGACACTTTATATAAAGTGTCCTTTTTTTTTTTTTTTTTTCTTTCTCCAAGTGTATCTTAAACTGTTTCTACCAGAGCTCAATTATTGACAAATACAAAAGAGTACCAAGTAAAGGTTTTGGATATGTATTAATAATCAGTGTTCAATATTTAATTATTTGAAATGGCAGCTGTCAAATGTTTTGGGGATTTCTCTGTTGAACTTTAAATTTAAGCTCTTTCCATTGGTCTTCAGTAGACTTTAGGCCAGGTGACTTATCAGACCATTTTAAAATCTTTATTTTCTCCCATTGGAACCACTCCTTCATGTTCACTGCAGTGTCTTTGGGATAGTTATTTGTCCGAAAAAAATCTAACCTCTTAGTAGTTTGAGAAATTTCACAGATGGAATCATGATTTCTGTCTGAATTTCTGGGAGTTAGCATTATATACACTATTTACCTTCAGACTAGCATACTGGGTAAGACAATAAACTACATTCAACAGTAACACCTAGCTTCGGGAGGTTTTAGCCCTTATCTCTTCAGGGATGTCTGAGGAAGAAAAGGAAAAGATCCTGTGTCTAATAATCATCCACATATTCAACTTTGGTGTCACATCTGATCTGATGCTTCTGCTTTGTATTTAGAGCTTCTTGATGAAATACAAAGAAGAATCTGCAATGTTATTGGCCCTGACCTGGCATCTTGGTTTCAGTGACATTCCCACCACCATAACATAGCTTCTCTGTTCCTTTTCTATAAATATTTTCATGATAATTGTTCTGAGGAACTTTCCTCTTTGGTACCTAGATTTACTAATTTAAGTGCAGTACAAGATTGGCAGCAAGTGCTCATCATTTTATAGTTGAAATGGCTTTTAAGTTAGCATAGATCTTATGGTTACATTTAAAATGATTAAGTTAGCATAGATCTTATGGTTACATTAAAATGTAACTATAAGATATATGCTAACAGTTTCTCCTCACATACTTGTGGAACTCTCTTCTGGCTTCTTGCTTTCCAGTCAACTTTGATCTTCAAAAATCTAAATGCAATGTCAATTGTTTTCTTTTGTCTTAATTTCTGTTCTTTTATTGCTCTCTCTCTCTCTCTCTCTCTCTTTAATAATGTTTATCTTTTTTTTCTTATTCTTTCAATTTCAGTAATCCCATGTGTCTTAGTGGCTCTATTGCCTTGCTTGGGGTGAAATGATTTTAAAAAATCATAAACTTTTTGTTTTTTTTTTTTGCTGTGATATGTCATTTTGAAATATTCTTTTGATTATCCCTATAGGAAATGAATTTGACTGAAGAACAAACAGGCAAGATGAGAGAAAAATTGTCGCGTGAAGTCACTGCTATCTTTGCTTCTTCCAGAATTTGGAATGATGGGATCATCTTGCCACATCAGACACGACAAGTGAGTTGCTCAGGATTTCTGCAGCCTGTGTACTTTTTGTTTTTCTCATGTTTTTCTTTTCTCCTCGTTTAGTGAATACAACATGGAAGCAGCAATCATAACACCAAATAGTTTTATGCATTGAAGCAGTCAAATAGTTGCCAAGTTATTCTTTCTGCATTCGTGCTTTCATAATCTCTACATAACCTGCACTAATCGGCCATAAAGGCATGTAATACGCAATAAATGCTCACTATTAATATTATACATACATACCATATCACACATATGACATAAAAGTACATAATACATTAATATATCTTCTTCTATGTGCCATGTCCCTTCAGGACATGAACGATCATGGCTCTCCAGAACTTCCTTTCAATTGTGGCTCTTAGCAGTCTTTCTCCTTTTGCTAAGGCTCCTGACACCTGTTCTGCCATCCATTCAATCAAGCTCATTAGGTAGGCAGCTTGCTGCTTTCCCCTATCTCTCAATATGCCCTGTGAGGGTTAGGTTTTCCAAGCCCTTCTTCCTCATTATGGATCCAATGAATTTCAGCTCTCTCTTCCTGATTCTGAATGTATGTGTTCTTTCTGCTGACATTGTCTTTAAGACTTCCCAGTTGTTTATTCACTCTGTTCATGGAATTCTCAGTATCCTTCTGTAGAACCACATTTCTGTTGCCTCCAATTTTCTCCTCATCCATGGGGAGATTGTCCAACATTTACTGCCATATAAGAGGATGGATATCACATAGCAATCTAATATATGATATAATAATATTACATACAAAATATATTTTAATGTATAAAATATATATTATTCATTATATTTTATATCGTCATATGTTCTTCATCTTTATTATGTTTATATATTTTTATAATATATTATTAATATATTAATATTTATACTAATATTAATATAACTACTAATACTATAAACACAATATCACACAAAGGTATAAAATCTTATGGCTGCCCACTCATATCTTAGTGTGCTTGTCTACTAAGGTGGCTAGCCAATCCCTGTTGCAGACGCCTACTCGGGCACATTTGTGTTTGTACAGCATCCCATAGAGACCACACATGGTTTATACTGCAACTGTGCTGAGTTACTGTTTCTTGTAGAAACCCTTAAGCTCTCAGTCCTGATGACTTGTCACTTTGTGCTAGCACAATCATTGATGGCTCCCAAATAGTTCCATCTACCTAATTTCACTCACAAGTTTTGTTTTTTTTCAGGCATTTTTTCAAAGGTGTCACACACTGGAATTACCACCCAAGGGCAATAACATCAAGAAGTCACCTTCCTGACAAATTGACCATAGTGTGATTCAAATCCAGGTCTCATGGTCAGAAAGCAAACATTTTAACCACTCAGCCACCTGCCCAGGAAGGCATCTAATACATAATGACTAATCTTACATAATAATTATTTACACTATTTGCATACAGACTATTGTCCTCATCTTTGATGTTACCACAACGTTTCAGCCTTCATCAGATACATGTTGATATTGATAACCGAAATTCCAAAATTTCCTGTAGGTTATCCAGATCAACATACACTGATGAAGACTGGAGGGCACAACAGCTCCAAAGACAATCATCCACATGTAAATAGTATAAATAATAATAACTCCACATCCCAGAAGTTCAGACAGAAATAATGTCTTGCTATTACAATATCATTTACAAAACTTATTATTTATAATGTATAAAATATACCTTATTCATTTTATTTTATACTAGCTTAAAAGGTGCACTCCGTGCGGACTTTTAAGCTAAATCCTGTAGAGTACTAATTGGGCCTCTGGCTCAAAACTGAAGGAAACTCTGGTCTGTCTTAGAGAACAGCAATGATAATTTTGAAGAAATAACTTTGAATTCCCTCCATGGAATTTCAAGAACTCACTTTAACTCTGATTTGGGCTGTAAGACTGATTTCAGATGAAACTCTAATTTGGGCCAAAACTCCGATTTGGTCTGAAATTCCAATTGAATTCAGTTGAGTTCTTCAAATCAGAAACTCTGCTGAACTTCAAAACCTTACGTCATGAAACCTCACACTTTAACACTGATTGCTTGGTAATTTGAAGAAATAAAATTGAATTCCTCAATTCACAAAGTTTTGGAGATACTTTAAACTGAATTTAAAACCAAAAATTTTAAATTCCCAAAGTTTTTGTGTTACTTTAAACTCATATAAATTAAAAACTTAAAATCACTAATTTTTTTTCAGTTATTTTAACATTTGAATTTTTAACAGTTCCCTCTTCATCCAGACAATTGAATTGTTTTTATTTGAGTTTGTGTTTGACCAATTCGTAAAAAAAAAAACACAAATTAAGATATGCGTGTCCGTCAACCTTAAACAATAATCTTTGTCAATTTTATTTTTCAGTCTTTATGATGGTGGATACTTGATCTATCTCTTACTGTTATATCCCCGGGCAACGCCGGGCTCTACTGCTAGTTTATGATAAAATGAAAGTCAGTTCAAAGATAAAAAAAATTAAGTCAGACCTTATCAAGCAAAGATTTCATTAGAAATAAGTTTTCATCGATTTTAAAAAGGTTAGAAATAGTATTCCAATATTGTCAAAATTTTAAGTTAGCCCAAACAGCAATACTTTTCAAACTTTTAGCAATGATGATACAGTTTTAAAAATGAAATTCCTTGATTTTTATTAACCAAGGCAAATATATCATTGAAGTTGTATATAAAAAGAAATAATTCAATGTAAAAAAGAAAAGCATGCTGAATTGCTACATAATATCACTCTTTTTATATGGCAATGAATCTCCTCACAGATGAAAAGAAGACTTGAAGCAACAGAAACAAAGAAAAGAATGCTGAACTTTGATGTAATATCAATCTTCCTTCTATGGTGGTAAATGCTTGACAATTTCCTCTCTAATGAAGCAGAGACAAGGCAACACAAACATTGCTGAACTGCTATGTGATATCAATCCTCAAGATATGGCAATGAATGCTGAACAATTTCCTCACATGAAGAAAGGACTTGAGTCAACACAGATATGGTTCTACAGAAAGATGTTGAGAATATCATGAACTATATGAGCAACAAGGAAGTTTTAAGGAAATTAAGTCCATGAGTTAAGACTCAAACTTGAGAATTTAAGACTTGGCTAAAATTAACTCATTCTAATAAAAAAAAATGGTCTGTTTCCTTTGCAAAACAAATAATTTATTTTTGATTGAGTTGAACAAGATCTGTTATGTGTAATTTGTGAAGCAATTCTCATGAATACCCACCCCTGCTTACTATATAGTCTGCTGACAAATTTTTTTGAAAAAAGAACAAAAAAAATTCACCGTAATGTTTGTGTATAACATTTATGTATTTTTCCTATTTTGTCTCTTATTGCAGGTGTTAACAAGATGCTTAGAAATTTGTCCAACTTCTTCTGAGTCAAGAACCAATCCTTTCTTGAGAATGTGATAACTTCAAGGTTGAGTGAAACAAAGAATTTGGTGCATTAATTTCTTGGAGGAAATGATCCGACCTGCACAATTGTGATAGTGCTTTATGTTACCGTATTCTTTACAATCCATCTGGAAGGGTATTATCTCACTTATAAAATATATCTTGTATATAAAATGATGAATCATATAATAGGTGTTGATTCACACAACCAAATATATATATATATATATATATATATATATATATATATATATATATATATATATATATGAAATAAGAGAGAATTATTTTGTTGTATGATTACTTGTGCAGATTCCACACACACACACACACAAAACTAAAAACTAATGGTGTTATTCACAGAATGCATACATGTTATTTTTAGCTCTTCATAATGGATTGAAACCTGGCAAGGTTGACTCTGGATGTAACAGCTTTTTGCTTCTACTACATGTTCAGATAAATTTAGAGACTACAATTTGCCCAAGTGCTAGCTCATCAACTCTTTTCTCTGTCAGATATCTTAGCATTACAGTGATGAGACATTTTATCAAGGTACTTGATAATGAGACTGCTCAGTGGAAGAATTGGGTTCATGTCTTATCCAAGAGCATTAGTGCAAAGTGAGCATATAATTTGAACTTGACTTTCCATGTTGATAGCCATAAAGCTATTTTGCATCTTACATGGTTCATATTTTGGTTGATATTATTTGTGTTCACTTAGGAGAGGCATGAGCCCACTTTTGCCTTTCTCTCAGATTTCTACCATAATTAACCAATTTTTATTCATCAGCTGTTTTTTCTTTTTAATATTATTTTTTGATTAAAGTCTTATATGCCATTTAATCAGCTCAAACAGGAAGTGGAACTCTCCTCTCTGATGAACAATTCTGTACCATTATCCATTACACCATCCGCATATCCAAGCTTACAGTTTATGGCACCTGGTATTCCCAAACATAACTAAATAGGTGACCGTTTGGGAATACTTCATCCTCTAAGCTTGGATGTGCAGGTGGTGCATTAGATAACAGCTCAGAATTGGAAATCAGAGAGCTGAGTTCCATTTCAGATTGTTATATTCACTTACACACAAATACCCTTGGGAAAGATATTTTTTCCTCCCTTTTCCCTCTCCAGCTATGGGTTAATTAGTAGGATGTATCAGTAAATCATTATTATCTCCGAAAAGATTCTTACAATTTTTAAAATGTTCTGGCTTTAAATAACCTGCAAAAGATTGATAAGCCATAAAAAATTAATCAATCTTACTAGTTTAGCCATGCTGTCAAAAATGATTGCAGACGTAAAGCTAATATTTTTAGTTTTTACTATTATTAGATTTTTTTTACATAGGTCTATATTTTTTCCAATTATTATTGTAGTTTTCTTTTCAGAAATTTGAACTTTTCATCTCCTAATCTTTGAATAGTCTGCCTTTGTCATAGCAAATGCACTGCCACCTGGTTCTGCCAGTTTAAGGGAGATAACTCTTGTACATCAAAATATTACAGAGTAAAACATATTATATACCTCATTAACCACAGTCAAGATCATAGTCATTATGAATCCCATAATCTTTTCCATGGCCATGTGCTACATTTGATCTACATACGGTTTTGAATTCCGGCTGGTTTCTATGCAAAGCTAGAGACCCCAGTCTACCTTACTATTTCATCCTTAGCTGGAGATGATAAGAATGGGATTCATACCTTTCCCAAGTGTATTTCTACAAAAATGAATGTAACAAACTCAAAGTTTGAACTTATTGTACCAGTTTCTCATTTTCACTAACTGGACATCAAGTAAGTTTTTTTTATGCTTTTTCATTTTTGATAACAAAATATTATGATCATCAATTTTTGGCACAAAAATTACTATGCCTGATTACATGATCATAATCAATCAACTAGATGGTATATTAATCAGATAGCAATCTGAGCCCCTTTACTTTTTGCATAAAATAGAAAGAATTCACCAACTCCAGTTAGATGCAAGACATATCAGAGCATAGTCACACTACTCTCCATTGCAATTTAACTCTTGAAAATCATAGAACTGTGCAACCAGTAAAGTTACTCTAAATATTCTTAAAAACTCCAGTTATAGAATTAATGGATTTTTTATTTCTTAATCCATATTTTTATGATGTCAAATGTTATTTCTAGTGGATACCCATATTTGAGTAAATGCTCCATTTATTTTAAACAGTATTTATTTTCTTTAATGTTCAGGCTGGTAGACAAAATAAATACTGTTTAAAATAAACTGAGCATAATGCTTGAATTTATACATAATTATTAATTCAAGCATTAAGTATATATGTATGTATGTATATGTATGCTGGAATTTCTGTGGGGGAATGGAAACGAGAGATTTTATACCCATAAGCACTATTTTACCAACGGTAAATTAAAATAACAGACAGCTCTTTCAAAAAAATTTGGGGAATTGAATGAGAAAGATTTGAACCCACAGATAAACTGGAAAATTATAGGTTTTGCTCATATTTCTATGTTTAGAGATAGATGAAACTTGTGTTTAGAAGAAAAAATTATAATAATAAAATATAATAACCAAAGAAAACTATTAAATCAAAGGAATGAATTAGTTTTAAAATGTTGACATAGAGGCAGATTTAAACTTCTATAATATAGATTTTAATTTATTACTTTTTAATTCTTTAACTCTTCAAATGTTGAATGTATATCTATTTCTAATTTCTATATTTCCATGTTTTCACCAAATTAATTATATAATTTTCCCTTATTCTATGAACTCTTTTCTTTTATCACTTACACCTCTTAAAATGTTTTATTCTTTAATATAATTTTTTTCAATTATATTCTTACTTAAATTACTTTAATTTATGTAATTATGATTTATTGTTAATCTTTTTAATATATCTCATTTTTAAGTATTATTTGTTATATTTTTTATTTTTTAAGTAGGAACCTAACTTTTTTTTATATATAATGAATTTTTTTTACATAAAACTCCCTTCATATAACCCCAATTTAAAGTCATAAAGTCTATATCTAATTTTATAAAACCTCTTCCCTTTAAGGCTAATACCTTCAACCCTCCCCTTACCACTGACTCAGGCATTTCATTTGACTGAACACTGAAATGGTTACATTATGTTTCAATTTTTTGACTGCTGTCAAAGTTAAATTTTAAATTTCTAATTCTGACAGAAACAGTCTATACACTGGGGTTGAATAAGACTAACGTACTTCTTGTTGGTGGAAACAGATCTATACCCCACCCTGCATATGATGTAATTTTAAATTTTATTGTGTAATTTATATACTCTGTTATAATAAATACATCAAACTCTTTTTGTGAATCAGTTTTAAGAGTTGATATTACTAGGATCTACTTGGATTATATACCAATGGATTTAATACCTTTACTATATATATATATATATATATATATATATATATATATATTTATATATAATATAAAAGTGGACACCGACATCAACACCAAATCGTGACAATCTGTTTCATGTTTGAATGCAGTCTTCAGGACTGAAACAGACTGTTATGATTTGGTGTTGACCTCAGTGTCCACTTTTATATTTACATATGCTCTATCTCTGATACTGACAATTTTACCAATAAATATAGCATATATATATATATGTGTGTGTGTGCATATATATCAAAATAACTACTTTTTCATTAACTTTTAATATTCTTTGATAAAAAAATAATGCATATTCATAAAAACAAATTGTATAAATGTTATTTTTCTTTAAAATACTATAGCATTCTTTAAAACTATATTTTTATTATGTGTATATATATATATATATATATATATATATATATATATAGTTGCATATTTTTTAAATTGTAAATACGATCCAATTCATCAGACCTTGAATTTGTAGGTCTGATGAATTGGATCGTATTTACGATTCCAATGGAATAAATTATGACTATGGAATATTAGTGTTTAAGCCTTTTTATTATATCCTTACTCTGTCCCAGACATTGAGTTCTACCTGGATTCTATCCTCTTGGATTTATTTTTTATACCAATATATATATATATATATATATATATATATATGTATGTGTATGTGTATGTATGTATGTATGTATGTATATATATTGATATATTTTATATATATGATTGCATATGTATGTGTATATTTACCACTAATATTACCTATATATATATATATATATATATATAAAGGTAAAAGACAATAGAAAAATTGTATTATTACCCGACACATTTTGTCCAATGTGAACTTTTCCAGGCAAAAAAATCAAAGTAACTATTAACAACAAACGAAATGTCCTTATCAACTAGAAGAATTTAAGAAAACGCTATTGTATTCATATTGGCAACAGAAAATTATGTCAAGTAGTATCATGTGTAGAAATATTGTTTTGTTGTGTTGACGGATTCTTTTTATTTCTTGATGCAGTTGTGTACATTGACTTGGGAGAGTAGTAATTCTGTTAGGAAAGATGATATTGGGAAAATGCCTGGGTGTAGATTAATATTTGGATAATATAAATAACACCCTGATGATGATATTATTCTATGTCAAAAGTACTTGGAGTAAAATAACATGTATCAGCATGGCAATTTTTTCTCTCTCCCCGACACCAAAAACCTGGGCTGTGAATATGAAAGGGTTCAATTCAAAATAAGTAGACGAAACTTGTCTAAATTATTTATCAACTATAAAAAATTTTCATGAAGGAAATTCACAAAGCATATAACTTGTTTAGCATTTTGTTAAAATTACCTCTTCACCTGATTTTTATTAATTAGGAAACTGCATTGTCTAGGTTGTAGAATTTATGTAACCATTTGCATCTGCTCTAGTTTATGTCTGACTGCCAATCTATGGATTATGACCCATTTATAAAAAATAATTTTTAATTTTGCTTCTTCATGTGTGTATACGTGTATATATATATATATATATATATATATATATAGTGCTATATTTGTTTGTAAATAAAAGTAATATTTGTACACAAGCTATATTTTATGTGTGTATGTGTATATATATATATATATATATATATATATATATATATATATATATATATATATGCATGTTTCACTAACAACAACAGACAAGGTACTACGGTTAAGCTTTTTATTTAATTTTTTCTTGTATTCAACAAGAGCTTTCTTTTCTAAAAAATAAAAAAATTTACCAGAATCCATTAGAAACATACTAGTAGAAAACACAAATATAATAACTGCATCCATCTGTAAAAAAGATTAAAAATAAAGGAAGCTTTAATAATAAAAAAGAAAAAAGCCAACTCTTAACAATATTAACTACAAACAAGGCCACAATGTGCTAACCGTATTCGGAAATTAAAAACATCCCTACCAAACACTAAGTTATACACATAATGCACACACTCAATTAAGCTGAAAAATTGAATCATCCTTGATAATGGCTAAATTATAGCCGAAAGTGCTCGGAACTATAAAACATTTGGACAGTTTTTACACACTCTTTGTCCAGAAAAGAAAGCTCTTGTTCAAACACAAGAAAAATTAAATAAAAAACTTAACCATAGTACCTTGTCTGTCATTTTTAATGAAACATGCTGCCTAAATATATATATATATATATATATATATATATATATATATATATATATATATATATATATATATATATATATATATATATAAAGAAAGAACAGTAAGATATATAATCCAGTGCTCTTATAGATATTTTTATTTTTACAAAATAGTGCTCAATGCAAGTTTGCAGAGCATTAATATTATAAATTAATTGATTTAAAATGTTTTTTTATTACACACTTCTAACCATGTTTCAAAAAATGGAAGCTTCCATTTTTGAAACATGGTTAGAACTGTGTAGCAAAAAAAAAAATATATTCTAAATCAATTTATAATAATATATGTATGTATATATATATATATATATATATATATATATATATATATATATATATATATATATATAAATAAAAGAAAGAACAGTAAGATATATAATCCATTCCGATAGCATTATATATATATATATATATATAATGCTATTGGAATGGATCAAGGTCAATCCCAGTGTGCAGCACATTTGAAAAATGCTTGAAAGCCATACCACACTAGATGGGTATCCTCAAACACGAGTGGCCAATTAATATATATATATATATATATATATATATATAAAGACAAGAGAAAAACTATTCTTAGATGATGCATTTCATCCTCTGAGGAACTTTATCAAAGAAGAAAATGCATCAGCTAAGAATAGTTTTCCTCTTGTCTTTTTATTCATTTTGTTTCTTTACATATACACTCTATCTGAAAATAATTTACATACATATATAGACTTATATATAGACTTAAGCAAATATAACAAAATAATTTCTTTTTCATTAACTTTTCGTATCTATTCTTTGATAAAATAAATAATGCTTACTCATAAACAAAAACAAAATTGTATAAATTTTGTTATTTTTGCTTAAAATACTAAATCCTGTTGAAAGAACATTCTTTTTATCTGCAGACCTAGTTTATCCTGTAGGTGTCAGTGGTTTGGGGCCACAGCCTCCTCCCAAAGAATTTTAGATCACTTATTGAAACTTCCTGCTGTATTCTCTGAAGTGACTTCTTCTATTTCAAGATGTCTCTTAAGGCCACTTGCTTATCTCTTTACACAAGCAACATTCAGTATTATTTCCATTTTCTCAGTTAATCTGAATAGTTTTCTGATGAGTGCAAATATAGCTGGCAAGGCCACCAGCAGCAAGAGTTATTTTAGTACAGGCATAACAATGATGGAGAATAGTATTACTTCTTATTTCTCTTAACTTTGTTAGGGCTTCATCTGTATAGTCTAATGTTCTGAGTTCTGTTTCAATGTAACTGTAACACAGCAAAAATGGCACATGGTAGCAAGGTTTTTGTTAGCACAACCCCATTAATATACTCTAATTTGAAAAATGATATAATTTCCCATTCATTATATGACTTAATATTGTGAGGTCTACATTCATGTGCACTCCAATGGTAGTGATTCAATGTTTGTTTTAAAAGTTGAAAATATTAAGTTGAGTTATAAATAATTTCAGTTTTTGGTTATTAACTTTATTCTTCAAAAAATGAAGTACAATTACATTTTATTTCATTATATATTCATTATTTGCAATTATTTTTTGCCTTTTATTAGGCAATTCTTCAAGAACTTTTGAGTAAAATCCTGCAGGCTTTGATGTGAAAATGTTTTTGTCACATGCTCTTGAATCTAGATTTCATTAGAGAAAGTTTTCCCAATCAAAGTGTTTTGAATTAATTCCAAAAAGGTAGTAATTGGTTAGCATATGGTCAGGTGAATAAGGCTTTGTTAGAACAGATCAAGAATGTTCCAAATTTTTTCAAAGTGTTATTCTTGCTGTCTGCAGTCTTACATTGTCATGGTGAAGATTTTTCCTTTTGACAAGCACAAAACCTTTTTGAGGAAATGTTTATGGACACGTTTCAGCTGCTGGACGTATAAATGTACATTTACTGTTTAATTGTGTTTTAAGAAATCTAAATGAATAATAGTACTTCAATGATTCTATCACATACAAAACATGTTTCTTCTATGAAACTCAAATTTAGGTGTCAGTTGAGAAGAGTTATCCTTGTCAGTTCACTGCCTTTTATGTTAAACATTGTCTGATGTAATTCATTTTTCATCATTTGTTATGATATATTTAAGGAACACTTAAGATTCATCATTACAAAAAAATAAATGCTTTTTCTGCCTGTGGCAGAATGTGAAACTCACATGACTAAAAAATCTTAGTCACTGTGCATTTTCATAGACTATTGTCCCCCCCCCCAGGCTTGCTGTGAGATGAGTGATTTTATCAAGTCACCATCTCTTGAATAGTTGCCAACCAAGGCTATTGAATCCAGTTTGTCCTGCTATTTAACCCACAGCTTGGGGAAGAAGAGATTGATTCATACTTTTCCCAAGGGTATTGGCACATAAGTGAATGTAATGATCACGGCTGGAATTCAAACTGGAATCTCAGATTTCTCATTCCAATATGAAATCGATTACACCACCCACATGTTCATCATTACAATGAATTCCCTAAAAGAGAAAATACTTATGACAATACAATCAGCCTTGATAAAGGAGAAAAAATTAGAATATTATTAATTTCAGTATAAGATAACGATACTCCTGAAAAGATAACTATATTTTGTAATATATATATATATATATATATATATATACACACACACACATATATATATACACACACTTATATATGTATACACATACACACATATATATACATACACACACACACACATATATATATATATATATATATATATTTATATATGCACATACATATATCTATATATATATATATATAGATACATACGTATATCATTACTTCATGAGTAACATTATTTTCTGCAAAAAATTTCTTAATTTTTTCATTCCTTTTCTTTTCTTCTTCCATCAAAGTTATTTCTGCATTATATTGCAAAAAAATAACAATTTTTCTAAATTGCAAGCAGGTATGTTGAAAAATCATTTAACACTCGACTACTGCTGATTAGGGATTAATAGGAGTACAAGTAAAGCTAACATTAAATTTGAAATATAGTTTGATGAATTGCATACGCTTTGAATGATCCTGCTGTATAGATTAATTAAAAGAAGGTTAGTCAACTTAAAAAATAAACATGCAGAAAAGCCTAAACAAAAAATAAATAATGTTTGTAGGTAATCTGTATTTGATGAGCTTTGAAACAACAGTTCCCATATGATCACTGAAGTTAAGCATGGTCTAGCCTGGTCAGTACCTAGATGGGTAACTGCTTGGAAATGCCAGGTGCTATAAGATTGAATGTAATGGATAATGGCTCAAAATTGTTAAATGGAGAGCAGAGTTTCAAATCCAGTTGGGTTCATTATATTTACTGATGCACAAATACCTTTGGGAAAAGTATGAATCCCTTTTTACTCCCCCAGCTATGAGTTAATTAGTAAGACTTGTATCACTAAAATCATTATTATATTAAAAAAAAATTTTCTTAGAAAAATATTTTCTGGTTTTAAATAACCTGCAAAAAAATTCGAAACAATCAAATTAGATTTTTGTGATGTTACTTAAAGATGGTAGTTTGTTGGTTTAAATGTCTCTACACAATGGTCTTAATAATCTGTTCTCATTGATGAAATATATATTCATTGCCTTTCTTTAAAAAAACCTTTGCTTGTTCAATTAGCAAAGGTTTCTATTAATTTCTTTCTATGAATCCCAAAAATATAACTGATGAAGCAAATTATAAAACTTATTAAATAATTTTAAAATTTCATTTAAAATTATTTTATTAATATAAAATATACATATAATATATATTAATTATGCTATCTCTCTACACATGGGCAGTCAGACAAGAACAGTGTACAATAAATAAAAGATTCAATTCTGAATTCTCTGTAAGTTGCCCAAATTGGCATACACCTGATGAAGGCGGGTGTGCACAACAGCAGAAACATCGTGACAACAGCAATGATGAGGACAATAGTCCCAAAGTAAATAGTATAAAATAATGATAACTCTTCATCCCATGAAATATCAAATTTATTATTTATAATATTTTATTAAACTTATATTAATTTATTTAAAATTATAAAACTTATGAATTTATATAATATTATTTTAAATAACCTGCAAAAAAAATGAAACAATCAAATTAAATCTTTGTGATGTTACATAAAGATGGTTGTTTCATTGTTTTAATGTCTTCCCACAATGATCTTTATATTCTCCTCTCATTGCTGAAATATATATCCATTGCCTTTCTTTAAAAAAACCTTTGCTTGTTCAATTAGCAAAGGTTTTTCTTAATTTCTCTTTATAAATCCCAAAAATCAAATTATATTTTGTATTTTTATATTTTCTGTATTGAAAAATGATAAATAATAAATATTAATCAACAAATGATCAATAAAATGTGATTTTTAATATTTCGTTCTTATTTCTTGCTTTCATAGAAATTTTAAGATGAAAAAAATGTCTACCATATATACTTGAGTACAGTATGAGTTTTTATGATCAGTTTCTTATACAAAAAATAGTGGGGGAGGTCACACTATATATAGGTAATTTTTGAAAAGGTTAAAACTTAAGCATGAATGAAAGCAAAAGCACACTTTCTAAATCTTTCTATCAAATATATTACGGTAAGTGGTTTTTCTGACCATTTTGGTGTACTCTTGTACAACAAAAAAATGAAGACCATTTATTTGTTGTAAAATATATCCAGAATGAGGCCCAGTACTGCAATACCTGACTACAGTAGGCCTACTAGTATTGCTCAGAAGCTGGGGTTGAATTATACGAGTATATGAAAAAATCACAAAATTCAGGTGTCGCACGATGCATAAAGTCAGCTTATACATGGTTTTCATATCTCAGTTTTGTATGTACATTTATAGGTATAAAATCAAATTTACCAATTATAAATTTGCTGCTTGTATTTTTTCTTTGATGTAAAAACACCATGATGATTATCAACCTAGAAAATGGAACCATTATAATTTAATAACATCTAATCAGAATAAAGGCAGTTTACGGCCATATTATGTTGAAACACTATATGATCACCAAAGTTAAGCAACATACCTCAAAGAAGTGACTGTTTGAGAATACCAGGTGCTGTAAGCATGGATATGCAGGTGATGTAGTGGATAATGGCACAGAGTTGTTAATCGGAGAACCGAGTTCCAGTTACAGTTGGGTTTGTTATATTCACTTATATGCAAACATCCTTAGAGAAGGTGGGGTATGAATTCATCTTTTCTCCCACCAGATATGGGTTAATCAGTAAGACTTGTATCATTAAAACATATTATCTGGAAAAAGTATTCTTACAGTCTATTTTTTAGCTTTAAATAACCTGCAAATGGTTGATAAGCCATTAAAAATGTTGCATCTTGCCAGAACAAACAGTAGAGCAACGGGAAACGTTTTTAAAAAAAATCCTGTTTTTTAAATGGTAGAAACACAAGTCACAGGTTGTTCTAAAAATAAATAATATCCACATGAGTGTATCAATCTGACGAAGTTATTTTCAAACATTAACTCAAGGTGGCTTACAACCACCTCACATTGAAATACCAGTTCACCATACGATCACCGAACTTAAGCAACATCAAGCATGGTCGATACCTAGATGGGTGACCGCTTAGGAATACCAGGTGATGTAAGCTTAGATGTGTGGCCGGTATAATCAATAATAGCACAGAATTGTTAATCAAAGAACCAAGTTCTAGTTCCAGTTGGGTTCATTATATTCATTTACGTGCAAACATCCTTAAGGAAGGTATGAATTCCTCTCTTCTCCCACTAGCTATGGGTTAATTCATAAGACTTGTATCACTAAACCCTTATTATCTCCAAAAAAGAAAAAAAATTCTTACATTCTAAGAATATTTTCTGGCTTTAAATAACCTGCAAGAGGTTGATAAACCACAAAAAAACAATCAGAATAAAGGACTACTAAATATTTAATACATAAAATTATTGTTTGTTCACTTCTGGACTTCATGTTAGCATGAGAGTGTGTGGTTTGGGGGACTTTCCTTGGACATTGATCATCTTGTGTGGATATGAGAGATGCTGATTCAGGTAGGGTGTTTATATAATTTCCTATCATCTGGTTTTCCTGTGTGTGCACATCCTATGCTCAGTTGGGTCAACCTCTTGTTTATATGTTGGGGTCAGCTACTGAGATCCTTTGAAGAGCCCACTTCTCCACTTGGTGGTTATAAGGATACCTTCTAGATCAACACTCCGAAGAACCTAGGTCTTCTGATGTGACACCATGTGCAAAGCTTACTTTGGTATTTCTTAGGATGAACCCAGTATATATTGGGGTTACCACAGATCTTTTAGAACATTTATAGAAAAATGAAATAAAATTGATAAATAGAATAATAATAATAATAAAAATAATGAAGAAATACATTTTCCTATGATGCTAAGAGTAAAAGACTTTGAAATATGATTATCCCACTTGGCTTCATAAAATGCCATTAGGTGACACAGTTAAGTCTATAAAAGACAAACATCCTGACTCACTCTCTTTCTCTTTATTACTCCACATGGTAATTACGTTCCCACTGTGGAATGTTAGTTTCCCTGGACCACTGACAACTGAAGTCTCTTTTCACTTTCCAACACATGGCACTCACGCATGTCTTTCAAAACCCTCCACCTACGAAGTAAATCAAGATTTCTCTTTGGTTGTCCCAACTCAGTGCAAGGCTAATTTGAGCATGATCATTGTAACAATGCTTATACTTACCCTAACTTCTGAACCAAGAAGAAGAACAGACATCCAATAACAATGTTAAACCTTCCAACAATAAAGTAAGTACAAACTTTGCTTTAGTTGTTCAAACTCTGCACAAGGCTGACTTCAGTTTGACCATTAATAACAAGCTTATACATTCTTACCCTAACTGCTGGAGCAAAAAGAAAAAGAAAATGGATATACCTAAGACACATTAAGAACTTTGTTTCAATACAGTTTACATAAAAGAAAGAGAATAGACAAACTGTGAGCGAACCTCAGGTTTTTGTATGATTGTTCATTAATTATTTACATATGAACATACACCCACACATAATAAACACACACACAACCTTTTAAATGCCATTGATTCCTTATTGGCATTAAATTCAGTTCAGATCTCTGATATTACCTGACATAAATCACATACTACACCAGCTAACTGAGTTCAAATTCCAACTAAGGCTCTTGCATACACTTCAAACTAATGCCCTGATGAGAGGCAGGGATCCATCATTTCTGCTTCCAGATATGGATAAATAGTAGGGTACACTGAGCTCTTCAGCCTTGGTAAAGCAACCAGTCTAGAAGAAGATCAATTCTGAATTTTAAATTTGATAAATACTAAGGCAACCAATCTTGGAGAAGGATAACTCTACAGTTATTAATAAAATAGTACTAAGCTTAAGTTACTGTTGTGACCAAGTAAATGGTTAAAAAAAAATAAAACAAGTGTTGCCGATATATATTAAACAGTAAGTACAACAGTAGAGTATTACATGACTAGTGAGTGTATGTCAGCTGACCCAGTGTTCAATTGATTTGACTGTTATATTTAACCGGTATAAGGGATGTATGTGGCACAAGGCCGAGTTTACTGTGGGTTTTCCAAGCCCGTAGGCTCAGCCAAAAATATTCCCTTAGAACCTGTATAAACATGTTCAGGGCCTGTCTACCTCCCCGAACAAAACTTTGCCCTTCGGTAAAGCCTCGTCCAGGTTCCTCTCTGCTCAGGCAGAGAGTTCAACAGATGAACAATCTATTCGACTGTTCCCCCAAGGCCTTCTCTCCTACTAATCTTATAGTAGGTGGAAGAGTCCAACATAGACTCTTTAGAGGGAGGACACCACAACAGTTACTTTCATTTATTTTTTTTGCATTACCTTCCATCATATGAGATTACATGATGCAATAACTTTATTATTGCATCAGCCATTATTCACACATTTTATGGTCAAGAATTATTTTGTCATTACTGAAATTATCAGCCATTGTGAGGGTATTTGTTTCTTGATTAAGGCTGAGAATGTAAGCGAAAAAAATCCTCACTTTCACCGAGATGGATGTGTTAAATTAGTGCAAATGTAAATTGTAGCAAAACAGATGTGCACACTGCTGTCATGAATTTTCAAAATTCAAGTACATTTAGTGACAAGGAGAATAGTGAATGGCCAAAGAAAAAAATGGGGCTAGAGATGACCACTTGATGAAGTGCACTGCTACACGATCACCATCAAGTTCTTGTATGAAGATA